AGCAAGCCAAGGTGACAGAATGACAGAGTTGGAAAGGGCCTTGGAGGTCTTCTAGTCCAACCCCCTGCTTAGGCAGGAAACCCTATATACCACTTCAGACAAATGGCTGTCCAATCTCTTCTTAAAACCTTCCAGAGTTGGAGCATTTACAACTTCTGGAGGCAAGTCCAAGTTCCACTGATTAATTGTTTTTGGTATCAGGAAATTTCTCCTTAGTTCCAGGTTGGATTCCCCTTTAATGACCTTCCACCTATTATTCTTGTCCTGCTTTCAGGTGCTTTGGAGAATAGGTGAACTCCCTCCTCTCTGTGACAGCCCCTCAAATATGGGAAGACTGCTAACATGTCACCTCAAATCCTTCTCTGCATTAAACAAGTTCTATCTCATTCCTGCAACCATTCACAATATACTTTAGCCCTTTAGCGCTTTGTGTTATAAAGATCAATCTTGATGTTACTGTATTACTCATACCATCAAAAGATAACCAAAGCAATCCATCTGTAGCCTTTTCAAAGCCCATAATCCTGGTCTCTGGACTGCTGTCCATTTCTGACACAAGGAGAATCTCAGTCCCAATCTTCCTGGCCCCAACCTTTCAAGTGGGAGGCTAACTTTTCTTTTTTTTTTAAAGGCTACCATTATGCCTTATTATTTATTTCCACAGTGCACTCAATCCACTTTAATTAAGAATTAGAAGCTTCACAATTACTCACACCGCAGGAGGACAGTATGATGGACGAGAGAACTCTAGAAAATGGGGTCATTCATTTTGAATAAAGGAGAAGCATACATCACCTAGGCACGGAAAAGACAAGGTATAATAAGGATTGCAAGAGGGAACTAATGGAATGCAGCGAGGTCCTTCCTGGAAAGAAGTGGGATGATTTTTTTTAAACGGTTTTTTTTTTTTTTTTTGCAATAAAAGGGAAAAAGAAAAGGAAGCTAATGCACCCGATGGATTTTCTAGCATTAGATTTAGAGTGGCAAACAAGAGGGAGAGCCGCATACTTCCTGGTGGGCACTTGGAAGAGGAGAGAAAATCATTCCAGATCGTCCTTGACATGCAATAGTTCATTCTGTAACCATTCAAAGTTACAACGGCACTGGAAAAAAGGGACTTATGACCTTTTTTTTACACTTATGACCGTTGCAGCATCCCCCGTGGTCACATCATCAAAATTAGAAGCTTGGCATCTGATTCGTATTTATGACAGTTACAATGTCCCAGGGGTCACCTTTTGCAGCCTTCTGACAAGGCAGATCTTTGACTTTAGACCAAACCAGTGGTGGGATTCAATTTTTTTTTAAACTATCGGTTCTGTGGGTGTGGCTTGGTGGGCGTGGCGTGGCTTGGTGGGCGTGGCAGGGGAAGGATACTGTAAAATCTCCATTCCCTCCCCGCCCCACTAACCTGCTTTCCAGCTCCGTTCTCCTGTGCAGGGCGACAAAAGAAGACCCCAGCCGAATAGCTGGGACTTGGGAGGCAGAGAATAGATGGGGGCGGAGCCAGTCAGAGGTGAGATTTGCCGGTTCTCTGAACTACTCAAAATGTCCGCTACCGGTTCTCCAGAACTGGTCAGAACCAGGCTGAATATCACCTCTGGGCCAAACAGCAAGAGCTCTAGTGCCATCTTAAGCGTGAAAAACAGCTGAGTGATTTTGGACCAGTCACTTCTCTCAGCCCAACCCACCTCAGAGGGTGGCTGTGGTGGGGGAAACAGGCGGAGGAGGAAGTATTAGGTATGTTCGCCGCTTTGAATTATTTATAAAAAAAGAATAAAGGTAGGAAATAAAATAAAGTTAAAAATTAATAGGAAGGAGCCTATTTTTTTTGATGGGTCCTTGAACAAATCGCTTCAGAATTGTCTCTTTGATTTACAAAAGATCACATTCAAATTAACGTATTTTGGAAGTATGCAACACCCTCCACCCAATTTCCTGGATAAATCTATCATGCTGAAAAAGATGGAAGGAAAGAGAAGACAAGGATGACTGATTTAAGCAAGGTAGATGGAGTCAGTGACAGCACTGATGGGTACACTTCATTGGAAGATCTGAATAGTCTGATTGGAGAGAGACAGAAGATCTACTCATGAGGTTGCTAAGACTCAATGCTGATTGGTTGCTACAGAATCCATCCATCAGTTGCTGCCCTTGTATGTTTTGTCAGTAGTTCAAGCAAAGAAGACTTGGAACGGGCCTTGGAGGTCTTCTAGTCCAACCCTGTTCTGAAGCAGGAAACCCTATATCATTTCAGACAAATAATTGCTCTTCTTAAAAATCTCCATTGTTGGAGCAGCCACAACTTCTGGAGGCAAGTCATTCCACTGGTTATTTGTTCTCACTGTCAGGAAATTTCTCCTTAGTCCTTCTCTCCTTGATGAGTTTTCATCTGTTGCTTCTTGTCCTGCCTTCAGGAGCTTTGGAGAATAGGTTGACCCCGCTCTTCTTTGTGGCAGCCTGTCACCTTGGAAGCCATTTTTTCTTTGAGGCTTCTGGGCTGCCACATTCCATGCCTGGGAATTTGGGTAGGGAGATTTCAAGGAGCGGTGGAAGATTAGCCACAACAACGTTCCTTTCTCAGAAAGTCAAGGACATGTTACCCTGCACCTGGAGGGGAGTGACTTGGGGTAGTCTCCAGTTGGAACAAAGTGAGGATTGGGCAATGTGGTGGATGTTGGATGCAGGGGTTGGATTTGGGGTTTTCTTTGGGTGACCGAAAACCTGGAACTCTCAGTTTTGGGGTTTCCCCAGATGTGCCAATATGGTATTGCTAATAAAGTGGATCTTTGGGAAGATGATATTCTCAGAGTCTCTTTCTTTGGAGGTTGTTACTTTGAATGCTGACACAGCTCCTCAAATATTGGAAGACTGCCATCAAGTCACCTCTAGTCCTTCTTTTCGTGAAACCAGACATACCCTATTCCTGCAACCGTTCTTCGTATGTTTTAACCTCCAGTCCCCGAATCGTCTTCATATAATCGATAAAATTGTTCTCCTGATACATGGACAATAAATTTAGCAATTTTAGCCCACTAAAATTTAATCAGGGCTGGAGGTGTGGTCATTATAGGGAAAGATGGAGGGCAAAAGGAGAAGAAGAAGGCTGCAGAGGATGAGATGGTTAGATGGCAATGGATGTGAATTTGGACAAACTTGGGAGATAGTGGAGGAAGCAGGGAGAGGCTGGCATGCTGGGGGCCATGGGGCCATGACGAGTCGGACTCAACTTACCTACTGAACAGCAACAAAGATGTACTCAAAGAAGAAGAAACAGGTCAATAATGAAGAATCTTAGAAGAAACAGCTCAGCAACAAGCCATCTTAGGTGAAGCTAGACAGACTCACAATTGATACCTGTACAATCAGCACAGCCCCCCCCCCCCACAACGCTGTGTGCTTTCTCCACTTCTCTTCTCCCTATATATCAATGACTGCATCTCAAAGGATCCCTCTGTTAAAATACTGAAGTTTGCAGATGATGCAACAGTGATTGGTCTCATTCGAGACAACGACGAATCCACGTACAGACAGGAGGTTGTACAACTTGCCTCGTGGTGTAACTGGAACAATCTGGAACTGAACACGCTCAAAACCGTAGACATGGTGGTAGGCTTTAGAAGAAACCCTTCCATACTACCACCTCTTACAATACTAGACAACACAGTATCAGCAGTAGAGACCTTCAAATTTCTAGGTTCTAGTACATGAATAAAATGGACACCTAACATCAAAAATGTCATCAAAAAAGCACAACAAAGAATGTTCTTTCTGTGCCAACTCAGAAAGCTCAAACTGCCCAAGGAGCTGCTGATACAGTTCTACAGAGGAAATATTGAGTCTATCATCTGCACCTCTATAACTGTCTGGTTTGGTTCTGCATCCCAATAAGACAGACAGAGACTTCAGAGGATAATTAGGACTGCAGAAAAAACAATTACTACCAACCTGCATTCAATCGAGGACCTGTCTACTGCAGGAGTCAAAAAGAGGGCTGTGAAAATATTTACAGACCCCTCACATCTCTGACATAAACTGCTTCAATTCCTTCCCTCAAAACAATGCTATAGAGCACTGCACACCAGAACAACTAGACACAAGGACAGTTTTCCCCCGAACGCCATCACTCTGCTAAACAAATAATTCTCTCAACACTGTCCAACTATTTACAAAGTCTGCACTTACTATTACTATTAATCTTCTCATCACTCCTTATTGCCCCTCCTCTCCCACTTGTGACTGTATGACTGCAACTTTGTCGCTTGTATCCTTACGATTTATATTGACTGTTTCCTAATGATTTGATTGCTTATTGTAACCTATGACTATCATTAAGTGTTGTACCTGATGATTCTTGACAAATGTATCTTTTCTTTTATGTACGCTGAGAGCATTTGCACAAAGAGAAATTCCTTGTGTGTCCAATCACACTTGGCCAATAAAAGAATTCTATTCCTATTCCTATTCCTATTCCTATTCTATTCTATTCTATTCTATTCTATTCTATTCTATTCTTAGAAGAGAAACTAAGCTGTCTAGTGTCAGGATTCCAGCAATTAAATTAAATCATGATTCTCGAGCCAAACTTCAAAAACCTTCAAAGGATTTATTAGAGGCGGCATACCGGCACTGCCCTATATGAAGCTAATTCTGGCCTACATCATTTACAGTCCCCTGTGACCCTGTTTTCCCCCTGGGTGTCTCATAAACCAGATTCTCTAATTGAGCACATTCACAGGCTGGGTGTCCTCATTCACATTCTTCAATTAAATATATTTGCAGGCAAAATCTCTGGCATTTTAGTTACAATCTTTTACAGATAAGGGTTGGGATGTATTTTTGCTTCCAAACTGCTGCACTGCTCTTCCAGATTCCCCCCCCCTTTTTTTTAATGGCAACTACTAAAACAGGCATAGGAATGTTTTATGAGTTGACATCTAGTTTGTATTTTAAAATTTTTCAAGAGGGATCCATCATTTCTGTTTCTCTTTGTTTTCCAGCTGGTGGGATTTGTGTACGCCTGTTACGTTGTCAGTGTCTTTACAGAAGAAGAAGACAGTTGTGAGTATCTGCCGGCACAAATTGCAATCGGTGTATATTGATTAAATGGCTTTCTTTTCAATGTTTAGTGGGCTGTAGCTGAAGATGTCGGTACACGAGAACAGATATTGTTACCAATGGGGAACAAATTGGTTCAATGGATATTTCCAGGCAAGTGTAAATGAACTGAAACAAAAGGACAATGCTTTTATATTCCAGTTGTTCTCCGTGTCTATGGAGATTCTCCAGTCATTCAGGTTATGGTGGTCCCAAAAGGTGCTTTTTCAAAAGGCAACTGGACTAACGATCAGATGGCTGCAAGGAGTAGAAATCCTTCCATCCTCCACCATTCAGTTGAAACCAAGGAAGCTTCTTGGATGAGAAGCGAAACGTCTTCAAGGAAAAACAAAGTCCAGTGGCCTTTTGAAAAAAGCACCTTTTGGGACAAGTTGTTCTCTAGTGAAAACGCTTACAGAAAGGCACCCAGTGGTGGGATAATCCACAAAATACATCATACGGGAGGGAAATTATTTGCATAAAATGTTCTTGTTTAGCAGAATGGCCTTTAGGTGTCATCTCATGGGTCATGTTTTAAGTCTTGAGTATACTTTATCATATACCGTAATCTGGTAACTAAAGTGAAAAAAATGAAAGAGGGCAGGAAGAAATCAGGGTGAAGTTCAAGCTTTTTCTTCCCTCTTTCACAAAACTCTCCAAAGAATTCCCTGATTTTATGCAGATGGGCAAGCGAACACTGTTTTTAACATGAACATTTTAACAGTCAAGGTTGGATTTAAACAACCAAAATGCAGCCTTTCTTTCCTTCCTTCCTTCCTTCCTTCCTTCCTTCCTTCCTTCCTTCCTTCCTTCCTTCCTTCCTTCCTTCCTTCCTTCCTTCCTTCCTTCCTTCCTTCCTTCCTT